TTCTTTTGCATATGTGCGTATCTACAACAAGGAATAAAAATGTAGTTGTGCATTGATAATACCAACTAGTAATTGGTATTAAGGCTTATTTAGTCATCGTTGGTACTACATCAGATGCGGGGTTAGCTCAAGTCCTTTTAGTTTGGTTAGAGATTTATATGTTAGAATAAGTATGGGATCTAAAGAACATCTTGTTCTTAGAGAACATCTAATTTGTGTTAAAAACAAACTATTGATTATTGAAACTAAATATGTCCATATAGAGTGAAACAAATACGGGTAATTCTTTTAGCCAACACCAACTGGTTTGGGATTGTTTCATGTTTGTTTCTTTGTAGTGCTTAACTCATACTTCATGTCACTATATTTCTTCTCATTTATTTAATTTACTAAAATCTCATGGCACTAATGGATGTTTAGCTAAATCCTAACACAATAAAAGTAAATGATTCACATAGAAGATACCAACTTGTTGAGGTTAATCCATATCCAAGTAGAGATAAGAGTGACATTGTAATTTTCCTTAAAAGGCAATATTTAGTATAGAAATGGAATCAACCTGGATAGAGTGAAAAGAGATATATAGGATCCAATATAGCTGACTCCAACTGATTTGGGATTGATGCATAGTTGACTGATTGATTGATTTGGAATTGCTGACTAGTATATGAACTGATGGTTTGCAATTATTTCTCTATACCTTCTATCGACCAGATATGTTACCTGTTCTTATTATGTTTTTTTCTTTTTCTTCCGAGTATATCCCTATTTGCTCGAGTTGATAACTTCCCATTGCCTCCCTTCAAAAAAAAAAACCTGAAATTAGAGGATGATTTTAATGCGATAAATTTTGTTGATGTTTTCGAATTTTTTCTCTTTTAACAGAGAGGAGGCAGGCAGAATCTTCTCGCATCAGGGAGAAGTACCCAGACAGAATACCGGTATTATATCTGCTGTTAAAGCTCTTGCCCTTCATTGATGCTTCAGTACTCTTATCCCTTGGTGCTATGTTTTCTCATTCAGGTGATTGTCGAGAAAGCAGAAAAGGCTGATATCTCTGACATTGATAAGAAGAAGTAAGTTGCTTCTGCGACTTTCCATGATGGTGGTTGTTAAGAATAATGCGCTCAGTTTTAAGCTTTATAGTTAATACATTTAAATCGCCGAATGCGTGTTCAAATCCAATCCAACTATATATTGGTTTCAGTGTGCAATTTGCTCTTATAGTTTGTGTTCTCTTTTGTGGTTATATTTGACTTCTAGGTAGATGATATCGGTTTTACTTCCTAGTATTTTTATTTAACTTGTGGTGCTTTTTATTTATTTATTATTTTTATTGCCTGATCTCAACTTGTTCGGTCATCCGTTTTGTCATAGTTCGTTCAAGATGTTTCTTTGCCCCCCTCCCCCTGGGTTTGCAGTGGATGGGGATATTAACATGGCAAGTTGGGGGTNGGAAGTTGATAGTACACGATATTTTAATGTGGTTTGTCATGGTTGATGTAAGATTATGAGTTTCCATTTCTTTTCCTCTTATGCACCCTGATGGGGGTGGATTTATGGTGTGCTGGATGCAAGTTTGGGGGACATATCCTGAATGCTGCAGAATTTTACATTTATTAGTATGCATTTTTGCAGGAGTAGCAATTTGATAGAGTTTGTCGCCACGAAGGTTGATGATATAATTCATTAATCATATGCTTTTCTGTTAGATTCAATTTCAATATGGTCTGTACAGTAATTCCTGGTGTTCATGGTCCCAATTTGAGGTTTTTCGTATCCTAAATACTACATGTTCCTGCCGCTATATAGCACTGGATGCCACTTTTGGTTGATTTAGATTGTGTTTTGGCTTCGTTGCCATGGTGATTTGGCGTTGTTGCTGAAATATATAGTTAGTAGTTTAATTTGTATATATATATGTGTGGAGAACCGTCTAGGGCATTCATTTGTTTCTTCTTTTGGAAATTAAACACAGCTGATGCTTCAACGTCATGCTATTTGGGCTATAAACTTCAACATGTTTACAGAATTAGTCTCCTAACACATGATAGTTGCCGATTATTATTCCTAATAAATAAGTAGATCCGACAGAACTTTAGCTGCTTTAGCATAAACTAATTTTTGTCTTGTTTTGTGATGTAGGTACCTCGTCCCAGCTGATTTGACTATTGGCCAGTTTGTTTATGTGGTTCGAAAGAGGATCAATCTCAGTGCCGAGAAGGCCATATTTGTCTTCGTCAAAAACATTCTCCCTCCAACTGGTAAGTAATATGTTACACAAAATCTCATACTTGCCCTAGACAATTTGTGTCTTGATATATCTTCTTCCACTGCAGCTGCTCTGATGTCTGCAATTTATGAGGAAAACAAGGATGAAGATGGATTCCTCTACATGACATACAGCGGCGAAAATACATTTGGGTTTCTTGAGCTCGGCAATTAATATTTTAAGTTTACCATCTAAACTGTAAATCTGCTATTTCTTTGATTTGATTATGGATGGTTTAACTTACAGCTGACTTTTGTTTTTGTTAATGAATTATTATCCATAAAATGTACAGTTGACAAGTCTTGCACTCTTAAATTCCTCTTTCATCTTCTGTGGGGATGTTGTGTGACTATTGATGTTCCTTTATCAATGTGTGTGAATGCTATAGCTCCAGTTTTGTTAGGGAATTCTGTTTATATAGATCCTAATTCTGCAGCAACAACCCTGGAAGGACAGAGAGACTGTTTCCGATGGACCCTCGGCTACCGAAAAGATGGAAGGAACATTGATAACAAGTAATAGCAATACAAGATATTTAGAAAACTAAATCCAAGATAGTAAAAAGAGGATAGGAAAGAAGTTGTGATAGCTATATACCTAAAATTTTCTAAATTTGTTATCGAAGGAATTTCCAACAAAAAGCATGTTTTTATCCTTAACATATGGTGACTAATGCGTCTGTCTTTATTCGTATGAAATTCTTAGAACTTTATTTCCTTTTAACACATCCCATTCATTGCTTACTAGTGACTAATCCAAGTATTTCTTATACCTATATGATTTTAGAATAGAGCTGGCATCTTGATGCAACCATTTGGGGTTTAAAAAAACTTTTATCTAAGTTTGAGGAATGAGGAGAGATTAGCTATCCCAATATAACACATTATCATAAAATTTAGTAATAAGTACTTCAATCTGTCCCAATTTATGTGATGGTATTTGACTCGGCACAAAATTTAAGAAAGAAAAGAAGACTTTTTAAATTTATGGTTTAAAACAAGATATAGATATTTGGGTGGCTGTAAATCTATCTCTCTAATAGCAAAGTGAAAAGTTAAAGTCAAATTATATTAAAATAAGGAAGTATCACATTTTTCTGGAGACAGACAAAAACATCAATATCAAAAGCAATCTGGGACAAAGCAGCATCAAAGCGTTTGTAGTCCAACGGTTAGGATAATTGCCTTCCAAGCAATAGACCCGGGTTCGACTCCCGGCAGACGCATTTACACTTTTTAATATCAACCTAGCCAGATTATAAAGTAATTACTCTTTCGTAGGGTGATTCAAACTCAAGTATGTCGTCTTTTTGAAGGTTGTTGGGCTCATATTTTCCTGTCTTTTTTCTTTTGGTAGTAACACTACGAATTCCTGAAAGTAACAAGCTTTATCCAGTATAATATTGCACATTTGACCGCAAGCAAAATTATTCCAACATATATAAACGCATTATAAGTTTATAAGTAAAATACTTTGTTTGTTGGAGATATATTTATATCACAATATAGTGTTTGGCTGATGATATTTAAGTTTTTAATTTCGAATCGAAATGTACTAAGGATGTACTTATCAATTTACTATGGGGCATTTGCATCTATACCCGTTTTTGTGTCACATTTTAACTTGTGTCCATTTTGCAAAAAAAATTGCAAGCGTACCTACTTTTTCGCCTAACTCCAGCATACGGGGCTGAAGTAGTAAAGGCAATCACGCAAAACTTCAGCATTCTAGTAGTCGGACCTGAAGTTCAGCTCTAGAGCTGAAGTTTTTGTTTTGTAACTGTCGAACTTCAACTCTAGAGCTGAAGTTTTTATTTTGTAACTGTCGAACTTCAGCTCTAGAGCTAAAGTTTTTGTTTGTAAGCTTCAACTCTAGAGCTAGAGCTGAAGTTTTTATTTTATAAGTAGATTATTTAAATGCTGTGAACTCACAAGAGAGATTGGATGCAGAAGTGTGCGACCAAAGTCTGAAAAGAGATACATTCAATTTACATATGTTATATGCATTAATCATCTCCTTGGCCTCATACAACCAGTCTTTCTACCTGCTGGAGCAAAGCGTTTAATATTAAACTTCACGAGATCTGTAATTTCAGAATAATAGAAAGAAAGTAGTATTTTTATTATTTATCCTTGTGATTTCATGTGTAATTTATTTCTTTTTCTTGGACTAGGGAAGAAAGGAGGTACACTGCAGCGTTGTGGGTAACATCGTAACAGGTATCAATATTTATTCCTCTCATATGTTAAAACCAGTACAATAGTTGATAATTGACAGTATTAAGATCACTTGGTACAGAGCCGTTTTTGTAAGTAGATTATTTAGGGATGAACTTTACTTATGGAAAAAAAAAAAGATAAAACTTTGAGGAGGACAAGGAGGAGGAGAAAGAGAGCTAAAATTATTTATAAAGTGGGTACAAATTAAAAAATTTAAAAAAAATAAGTATAAGTTAAATGGGGGCGACCAAATAGGACGCACGTGCAATTTTTACATTTACAATAGCCTCGTAACTTGACCTCATAAAATTGAAGAAAGGAAAGAAAATCGGTTTTTCTACAGTAAATTTTCTTTCTTACGCCTTTTATTACCCTTCAGTTCCGCCACATGACGGAAGCCGTGATTTAACAAATTAACAACAGACCAATAAAATTGTGCCACGTCAGACTCCCATAATAAGTTCCAAAACACGTCCAGGTTCAATGAACTTGGAAATCCCCTCCCCNAAAGACTTGAGTGTGAAAAATGGCTTTGGCTTTCACTGCTTCAACTGCAATTCATGGCTCTCTTTCTTCATCTTCTTATGATCCACAACCCAAAGGTATCCTTTACTTTTTGCTTTTTTAAGTTCCAATTTTACTCTCAAAATATAAATGTAATAAATATTACTCTCAAAAGTATAAATGTAAAGAATTAAAACAAAAAACTTTTGAAATTTATGGTCAAAACAAGCGATGCATATATTTGTGTGCGATCTCAAAAAAATAAAAAATTTAAAGTTGAATTATTTCTAAATATGAAAATATATTAGTATCTGGGTGGGGTTTTTTTGTCTCATTTTTCTGGATTTTTTTTTCTTTGTAGTATCAGTAATAGGTACCACTCAGCCAATGGATCGGCCTCAAATTCCGTTGACAGCAGTGAATTTATCTCGGATCAGGCGTTTGGCTGTGAAGTCATTGAATGCAGAGCCGAAACGGAATGAATCGATAGTTCCTTTAGCAGCAACTATCGTTGCTCCTGGTGCGTTAATTAGGTTTTAATTAATTGTCTCTATTTGTGTGATTTTCAGCTTATTTCGTAAAATTACTGTTTTTTTATGTAGAAGTGGAAGAGAAAGCAGAGGAGGCAGAGGATTATGAGAAACTGGCAGAGGAGCTAACAAATGCTTCCCCTTTGGAAATTATTGATAAGGCACTTGAGAAATTTGGAAATGATATTGCCATTGCTTTCAGGTACTTTCTTTTTTGTTCCAGATTCTCTGTTTAAAATAAGTTTTGCTCTTGATTATTTTGTTGGATTATGCTGATTAGTTATACTGAAGATGCTTGTACTATTTTGTATCCAAAGTAATAATGAGCTTCCAGTTTATTGTTCTTTAGAGGTCTTCGGAAACCTCTCTACCTTCACTGGGTAGGGGTAAGGTCTGGTACACATTACCCTCCCCAAACCCCACTTGTGGGATTATACTGGGTATGTTGTTGTTGTTGTTTTATAATATGAATGTGCAATTCAACTTTAATTTGTGTAGTGAAAGACAAGCAGTAACTACTTATAATTAGAAATGAAGTATGAGTGAGCTCAAGAAGTTTAGGACTGACACCAGAAGCTAGCAATTTCAAAAGACCTAACTTCAAGAATTTTATTAAAAGAAATGGTGTGGTATCTGAATATTATAATGTCTGTCAATAATCTCTTAGTTGTTGATTTTGATTGCGACAAAATTTGTATGTTCTGAACGCTTCTATCTGATAGACAGGTTGCTTATTCTTGCCTATGATGCATGTCTGAAGTTTGAAGTGAATGAATTTAAACATCTGAAGGTTAAGAAATTTCTGTTTTCATTGCCTAGGAATTGTCTCATGCAGAATATAAGATTTCTTAAATGTGTATTTTTGTGAACCTTTCTCCTTGAGGTAGGGATAAGGTCGGGGTACACACTACCCTCCCTAGACCCCACTATGTGAGATTACACACTGGGTATCTTGCTTTATTTATATGAACCTTGCCATATTTCTAAACTGTTGCTTTGCGTTTTGCTAATTTCATCAAATTAATCTGTGATGACGAATCTAGACGCGATTATGCCACTTTATTTGTTGTTCATTTACTGTGTTGTTTTATTGAAAAAATGTGGTCCTTTAAAAGGTTTCCTCCCTGCTCTCTTTTATGTCCTAACATATGGTTTTCCTGATTGTTCATCACTCTATGATGCAGCACCTTAATAGTATCCTTATTTTTGCAGTGGTGCCGAAGATGTTGCTTTGATCGAATATGCTCATTTAACTGGCCGGCCATTTAGAGTATTCAGCCTTGATACTGGGAGGTTAAACCCAGAGACCTACCAACTTTTTGACGCAGTAGAGAAGCACTATGGAATCCGCATTGAGTACATGTTCCCTGATGCAGTTGAAGTTCAGGCCTTAGTAAGGAACAAGGGCCTCTTCTCTTTCTACGAAGATGGCCACCAAGAGTGCTGCCGTATAAGGAAAGTTCGACCTTTGAGGAGAGCACTCAAAGGCTTACGTGCGTGGATCACAGGGCAACGTAAAGATCAGTCCCCCGGGACTCGATCTGAAATTCCCATTGTTCAGGTAGATCCTTCTTTCGAGGGATTGGATGGTGGAGCGGGCAGCTTGGTGAAGTGGAATCCAGTTGCTAATGTGGATGGAAAGGATATTTGGAATTTCCTGAGAGCTATGAATGTTCCCGTGAACTCATTGCATTCACAAGGTTATGTTTCCATTGGATGTGAACCTTGTACTCGAGCTGTCCTACCTGGACAACATGAGCGAGAAGGAAGGTGGTGGTGGGAGGATGCCAAGGCCAAGGAATGTGGCTTACATAAGGGAAACATCAAGGATGAAAGTTTGAATGGTAACGGAAATGGCGCTGTCCATGCAAATGGTACTACCACTGTTGCTGATATTTTCGACACCAAGGACATCGTAAGCTTGAGCAGGCCTGGAGTTGAGAACCTATTGAAGTTGGAAAACAGAAGAGAACCTTGGCTTGTTGTTCTTTATGCTCCTTGGTGCCGCTTCTGTCAGGTAATCAATCTTCTCATCAACAGTAGTTTCGTGGAAACAGCCTCTTGTAGATATTATACAATGTAAGGTTGTGTACAATAGACCAACTGTTTGACCCTTTCTTAGATCCTGCGCATAGTGAGAGCTTAGTGCATAGGGGCTATCTTTTTTTAGCAACTATAGTTTTGTCTTCTGCTAAGATGGCTTTGATAAATGGATCTTTCTTCTGATTTTTGTACAGGCAATGGAAGGATCTTATGTTGAATTGGCGGACAAGTTGGCGAGTTCTGGTGTTAAGGTAGGGAAGTTCAGGGCAGATGGTGAACAGAAAGCTTTTGCACAACAAGAATTGCAGCTTGGCAGCTTCCCTACAATACTCTTCTTTCCTAGACATTCTTCACAGCCGATTAAGTACGTGTCGGAGAAGAGGGATGTTGACTCCTTGCTGGCTTTTGTGAATGCCCTTAGGTGAAAGGCAGATAGTTTTTTCACGTGATAGTTTTTTCGCGACTTGATTAGAAGCAAATCAGCAATAGATAAGGGACTTGTATAGAAGATAGGTAGCAAAATATACTGTCCTCTTCGTCCTCTGCCTTTTTTTTCTTTTTAACTTTGATTTTACAGCCATCTCTGGTAAGAGTTCTGATTTCTCTGGGCTCAGTTTTGTTAATCAATATAAATCAATATAAAAACAGCTTGCTTTTCTATGTTTTGGTTGATTTTGATATGCAAATTCTTGGTAGAGCTGTTTCTCTTTTCCTCATTTCATTTCAAAGAATAATCATTTAAGGCCCTTATATGCTTCATTGAAATACAAAATAATGTCTTTGTAATACAAGCTATATGGGATTAGTAGGTTTTAACGTGGGTTGACCATTGAGTACCCAATTAAAATTGAAACTACCAGACAAAGTTATACAAGAAGAGAAAATATTGCAAGTTTAATAGGTTATGGCTTGTAGTTATAGTAAATTTCTCGCTACAGCCAGGAATGGCAACGGTGTGGTGCGGTTACGATGCAGCCTTAACACACAAAGAGAACCTTTTTGTTTTCAACCCGTACCGCACTGCACTGCATAAACCTGCCTCGTGTTGCACTGTTTTAAGTTTTTTTTTTTTTTTTTTTTTTTTTTTTTTTTTTTTTTTTCATGAGTTTGATTTCAAAAACCAAGTTAGCATTGTCTTTCAAATTCTTATATGTAAATATACGTGAAATTTTAATATATTTGTATATAAAATATATGCCCCAATTGTTCAAGTTGAGTTTAATGAATAAAAGGGCCAATTAAAGTATATTAGTTAGAACTTATGAGGCAATTTTATGAGGCTATTAAGTAATTTTCCACTTTGATGGAAAGTAGAAAATTAAGTGGCTATCTCATGATTAGGTATTATTCATGCACAAATGTATAGTAAAGTGGCTGATAGCATCAATTTTTGCTACCAACGCACTAGTTTCCGACAGGTCTCTCTCCATCGGCTTTTTGCCCAAAAACATCAATGTCGATTTTTCCCGTGGAAAAGATATGTTTTTAGCACTAACGTACACATAATTTTTGGTAAGCGGTATCAAAATTTTTAAAAATGAATGAATGATAAATTAATAGTAATAAAAAGTGATGTCATTCTTTATATTTATACTCAATTTTTCATTTTTATCTATATATACATATTTAATAAAAATTCCGACGAAGTATCCGCCCCTGATTTTTAGTAGTGCAAGAGTGGAACCAAAAGGAGAAAAGAGCACAAACATTTGTTTCCTTAGAACCCTTCTTCTTTTTCTTCAGCTCTCCCTCAAAATAGAAAAGAAAAAGAAAGAATAAAACCGATTATTCCTGTATATTCTATTAGTACATTCTTTTGAGACGTTACTACGGAAGAAAATGTGAAAGCAAGAGAAAAACGATATAGCGGATAAAAGATATACAGTGAATGCACTAAGTCGTAAAACGAAGTGTTAATCGATTTGTTTTTCTTTTGAAAATATATTTCATGTTAGAAAATTGTAATTACTATTAATATGTATTTTTTTCGCTCTAAGTTAGGAATTTTTTGGGGGAATGTCTTAGTGCTTTGAAGACAATTTAATTCCTTGTTGAAAAGCTATTGCCCTTATTAATTTATAGTTAATTATCCTTTTGGATAAGACAATTTGATTCCTTCTTGAAATTGTAGTTTTCTCTTTTATTTGCTCTAGGAGTTTTTGAATTGAAAATAATTTAATTAATTAATTTTTGAAAGGTATTCTGCTTTCCGAGTTTATAAGGTTTGTTTCAAGTTAACAAGTTTTACCAATAGAACATTCTTTACTATTTTAGGACGTTAAATAAACTATTGAATAAATTTTGATATTCTTAATAAGGTTTTTGACAACAAAAATTAAAGATGTGTATTGCAATACATGGCTAATATTTGTATAACTTAAAATAATCCATATCAATATAAATAAATATTAGTAATAATAGATGTTCATTGTTTGTTCTAAAGCTAATTGTAGACTGTATTGTTTAACCAAAAATCTGAGTCTTTGGTCAAAGCTAAAAAGAAATTCGGGTTACTGATNCTTTTTTTTTTCTTTTTTAAAAACAAAACAAAAATAATAAATAATAAAAATAATGAAATTAAAACTAAACAACGATGCAACATTTTAACACAATTATCACAAAATTATTTAAGTAAGTTAACTAAAAGCCTAGAACGAACGATGCACACATATATATATATTTTTTGAATTTTCTTCTACTGACCGAATTATGGTTTAATCATCCTAACANAATAATTCTAGGTAAAGGAATGAAGCCTCAGCCTTAATGATATAATTATGAGTAATAAATGATATTAAATAAGCCGTTATACAATCATTCCTATTAAATACCAATTTTCTAACGTATCAGGTATTTAATAATGAATTTGGACTCCTTTCTGTCATCAGATCTTTGTCTTTAATGCCTTCTAATCCGTTGGTTGTAAATGACTTGAATTGGTACGAGACTCGTATCTGCACTTCGTCTCGTGCCTATTTAAATTTCTCTTCCCGTGGCTGTCTCCATCCGTGCTTCTTAGTCAATTGTTGCGCTTTGACTATTTAACCAAACCACGTGTCATGCCACGTCATCTTTAATATAAACTCAGTTTTTTTTCAATACAGATAGTCCCCCCACTTTCCATTTATTTATCAATTAAATAATTGGGAAGTGGATCTTCATAAAAAAGGAATTTTCGCCACAATTAATGCTTATGACAGTATTAACGCCTCAGTCGTCTTTTCCATTTAATGTTCTGCCCATGTGTCATTTTCTGATTGATTCTGCTATTTACACCCTTTTTCAAGACTTCTTCATTCTCACTATTCACGAAGTGATAGTTGCCTTTATTATAGGCTTTCCATCATTACACTTCTAAGTTTGACGGTTCCCATTATATACATAACTTTTTCTTCCTTTGTCTTCTTCACAAATCTTCAGCAAACATTTTCTTCTTTATTTCTACTTTCTTTCGACTTATCCTTCCTAACAATGTCATCTTCAAACCCTAACCGTAAAAAAGTTCCGATTCTAGACCAATTCCCCAACGCCCCTGTTAGACACAGAAGAGGCGGAGGAGGTAGGCTTCGAACAGGGTTAGAATTTACTCGAGGTGGCTCCTCTGGTTCTTCTTCAAGGAGTTCTATCCCAAAGGCCCCCTCTTCTAGAAGTAGAGAAATTCTTGATTCTTCTCAAGAACCCTTAGTTGATGAGATAGTTCCCAGCGATTTGTCTTTTGAAAGTGACAAAACGTCTCTTCAAAAGCAAATTGCAAATTTGGAAAAAGCCGATACTTACCCTACAATAGTAACCGAGCTTACAATCCCCACCATAAGAAAAGATTGTAACTGGAAGGATAGTCTTCGAATGTCAATTCCTTCCCCAAATCAGAGAATTTCCTCCTTTAGAAGTGGGTATTCTTTTGTTTATACTTACCCCTTCACTTTAGGTTTTAATCCTCCGATTGACCCAGTTATTCTTGATTTTTGCCATTTCTTTACAATTTGTTTGGCCCAAATCGGTCCCCTAGTGTGGAGAACAGTGACTTGTTTGAGGTATCTATCCTCCAAAGCCAATGTCAATTTCACATTCTCTCACCTCATTCATTTATACCACCCTAACTTAATACGCCATGGGGTTTTTACCTTAACTGCAAGGAGCAAAAAAGTTCTGGTAAATCCTGAAGATGACAAAGATCGTGGATGGTATATCCGTTATGTTGCTGTTCGTACGGTGGACTTGATTGGCGAAACAAATACTCACTTCACTGAGAAGTGGAATTTTGAACGTAGGTTTCTTTTTACTTACCGTACCTACTCTTGAGAATTTCAAAAGAAATTTGTTTTTAACCTCGTCTCTTCTTGGTTTTTTGTAGCAACCATGGGAGATGTGGAACCTATTCCCAACTTCCGCGGTTGGGTAGACTCACTTTTGAAGATTGCTTCTAGGGAGCAAAGAACTTGGAAATCGATTTCTTCCTTACATGGCTGGAAGGTGAAAACACACGGTATTCCCCTTTTTATATATATTTTTTTTACATGTTAAGCATTTTTTCCTCAATTTTGATCATTCATATCCTTCCTTTAATCAGGATTTGGCGTTAGAGGAATGACGGCTGAAGTAGCTATGGCCATTCGCATGTATGCTAATGCTGCTCTTGATTTGGATAAGGCTCGAGCCTTGCTGCCAAAAAGTAAAGCTATAAAAGAAAGTTCTGAAGAAGAAGATGGTACCTCCCTAATTACCAGGCCAAGGGTCAGGAGGCGAATAATCATTGATGATGAAATTGAAGATACTCCTGCTCAAACCTCAACCACCGAGCCTGTTTTGATTCATTCTGACGAGGACACCGAACCAAGAGATAATAATGAGTCAATTCAGCATCTTTTTGATAGTGGTTTCGAGAGTGGCGAGCTCGGCCCTATTTTTGATGAAGCTCCTCTTTCCTCGTTCGTTCCTATTTCCTTCATTCCACTGCCAACCGTAAGTATTTCTTTACCAGTTTTGACGACTTCCGTTCTTTTGCCAGTTTCTACCACTCCTATGTTCGTTCCTGCGTTGGTTTCTACATCTTCTCCTTCTATTCCTATTTCTACATCTTCTCCTTCCATTCCTTCCATTGCTCCTCTTCCCTCTGTTCATCGTACAAAGACGGGTTCTAGCAGTGGAAGTATGACTATGAGAAGTGTTACTCTTGAAGTTCCTGCCAATCATAGCCTCTTGAGAAAGACTGGTAGAGCCGATGTTTGGCTCGAGCCCCTAATTGGAGATATTGAGAAGAAAAAGATGGAGAGCCATAGCTGCTTGACTCTGATGAATGACATAGTTCATTCTACTTTGAAGGTATCTTTCCTCTTCTTACCAACAAGTTTTTTTTTTATCTTCAATCCCTCATTTCTTGAGTTGTCTCTATAGGCTAACCTCATTGGTATGGAATTAATGGGAAGAATTTCCCTCCTGGAAAGAAAAGCCCGTGAGTCTGAAAAAACTGTCCACGAGGCCGAAGAAATTGCCAGGGGAGCCCAGCTTGAAGCAGTCAATTGGAAAGAACAGTTTGAGAATGCTCAAGGGACCATAGAGGAGTTGCAAGAAAATAAAAACCTCCTGGAGCAGCAAAACCGTGGTTTGACTTCTGAACTGGCAACTGCCAAGGCTTCTTCAAGCCAATTTAAAAGAGACAA